TGTGCTCTTCCGATCTCCCCAAAACCCCAAAACCCCACAAAGATCATTTTTTTTGAATTTCTTAATTTCAAATCAAATCCACTCTAATTTATTATAATCAAAAGTAATATCACAAACTAAATGTTCCTAAGACTTTAATTCCTTAAGCGAAGATCTAGGTAGCAATAATGAATAGTAAGGCTCTCTATTATGCCCATAGAAGTGTATCCTGAACTCGACCTCATCATCGATTGTGCTATCCATTATTAAGTAATCATCTGGAATATGGAAAGGTTCTTTATCAAGATTTAGATAGATATGTTTATGGCTATCAAAGTACTCTATTCTCTGCATGAATGATAACTTCATGTTTTTATGATTGCCGTATGTCCCATAAAGTGACAAACTATTTTCATTTAAGGGAGGTCTAGTTATATGGATTCTTCTTTTCAGACTATATTCTGGTATCTCAATATTAAGATGACTGCATGCACTAACTAGCACTTGATCTGTAAGAGAATGTATTCTGATGTGAGCATGCTCATCAAATGGCGTGTATTGCAGACTAAAATAGTGAATTAAACTATTTGAACAATTACTTCACGATTGCAATGCTGCCTTTATTCTTGAGGGTTTGAATAGGAATCTGATTAGCTGGCTTTACTCTTAGAGAAGTGCCCATGCAAAGCTGCAAATCACTCTATTAAGCAACAGTTAGAGCTTCAACTAATTTGTCTTTAGGAATGCTTTCACCGAAGTGTACAATTTCATCTGCTAGATCCCCGTCACATGTAGTGTCTTCGCATTTTCTGCCTGTGATATGATTTCTAGGATCCTCAGAGACCCTGCATCTAAAATCTCTAAAATACATTTTGCTACATGATTTGCAGTACTCAATAGTAGTATTCCCATGAAGTTCAGTTAAATTACTATAAGGTATCCCAGATTTCAAATGCAGAGCATCTGTGTTTTGACTTATCACATGCTTTAAGTAGCCATTTTACATTAGTGCGAAGAGGGCCATATGCGAAAGACTAGGCTTAGCTGCCTAGACTTGTCTCCTAGTCTCATTTAAAAATACTATCTTTTGCTAATCTGTAGTTTCAGGAGGTAACTCATATTAACCAGCTCCAGTTTTGATAATTGTTTGTGAAGTACTTCTATAATCGGGTATTCCAGTTGAGGTACTCAGCCCTGCTCCAGTAAAGCAAGTGAAATTTTTAGAATTTGCAATCAAATCTGCAAGTCTTTTGCTCTTTTCCTCTATTTCATGACTTAGATCTATCTTCTCCTATTTATATCAATCTTCCATCGATGGTGCCTTCCAAATAGCCTCTGTTGAGAATTAAATCAGCTGCTAATACACAAGTTTAGTCTTTTAAGCTTTTCTGAATTTACTTATCATTTTCTACTATATTTTAAAAATATGTGATATAAACATATACTATTAGCAATCAAGTAATCTATAGTAATTGATGGGGTTTTGGGGTTTTGGGG